CTCGAGCGGCACTTCTTTATGGAGCCATGCACCATTAAAGACACGACCGTTTACAAGCCATTCAAAGAAAGCGCGTCCCAAGGAGCGCAGAGCGCTGCGTGGGCAGGACACTCTTGTTGCCACATCTCCGACAGCTGGGGGAAATACCCGTGCTGCAGTAGGCAGAGCCAGTTTACGTGGACAAGAAAGGTTTCACACCGGGGAAGTTTGTTCATTCACTCGATGTTGTGGAGGCAGATGTGAAGTCATGCTCCTTCGACTCTTCAACACTCAGGCAAGTCACACTTCCTAAATGCAAGTTAAAAGGAAAATAGATAAGTAGATTCAGACTTTGCAAACTTTCTTCTCTTCCAAGGCCGTTTGTAGGTTTTTCAGTTGAATTTCAGTTTTCAGTGCAATTTAAGACCTCTGACAGAAACATTAATTGGTACATATTAAATAAATGTTTAATTCATTATTTAATAATACAATTAAATGAGTATAACTAATATTTTTAGCAAAAAGCATTGCGATGAAAGACACTTCAGTATTATGTACTCCTTGTGGAATCGATTGCACTGCCAAATTTCGATCCTATAACATTTTGCACAATATAGAAAAATTCGTACTCCTTTGAAAAAGCTTACACAAAGGCAAAGCAAATCTATTGACAGCTTAAAATATTTTCGGTGTGCGATGGGAATTTCGAAATCGATTTTTGTAACAAATACACAGGGTATCGATTCTGATGAATTTTTGACGACAATAACTTTTTGGCATTCAAAGCAGTTATTTTTATAACAGTTTATGGATTCCACAAGACATTCGCCCGATAGAGTTTACGGGAGGGAAAAATATGTAATTCCACCGCGAAGGAATCTATTTTAGACCCTCTAATTGAATAGGGTCTGCCAAATGACAAATCATGCGAGTTACTTACGTGGGCTCCTTGGATATCTGGGCCTTCTTGGCATCGAGCTCGTGTCGCCTTCGCTTGGCCGCCGATCGGGTGTGATGTGTGTTGGTGATGCGCGGCCTGCAGTGAAATAATGGAGATCATGAGTACAATGGGTAGGTGAGTAGTTCCTCACATAGCTCGCAGAGAATACCGAGAATTTGGGAATATCGGAGAATGCACACATGGTGGCGAACTTACGGCGATGGGGCCTCAGCTAGGGGTGGCGAATGATCGGCAGTATCGTGTCGTCGGCGCTTGTCTCGTGTGCCTGCCGAGGAGCGATCCCTTGAGTGGTGGAGTCTCCGTGTTCTGGGCATCTGAAAAAGTGGTATACACACACTGTCAGTGGGTCTGTGGTACCTATTGGACAGGTGTCAGATTTAACTATAGGCATTATACTGCTGCTGCTTATGTACGCATATATGTACTTATGAACTGTAAGTCATCGGGTGGTGTGAGCACTGGGAACAGCACCGTATCGCCCACCACCCCCTTTTAGCTGTTCCCACCAAAGAGGTGAGTACAGTACGGAATACAGCTGGCACGCACACGCACACGAACACACATACCCACACTCGCACACGCGGGCGTTCAACGAAATTGCAATATTGTGCCTCTGTATGGGTGCATTGGAAAAACGGACCACAAATAAAACCAACGAAAAAGCCCACAAACTTTCGCATTTTAATTAGCTAACCATTAGCGCATCTACCTTGCAATTTGCTGCCGATTTTTTTCACGAGCGCGAAAATTGATTTTTGTTGTATGCGCTCCGCTGGCTTTGCTTTGCTACTCTTGTTGTTGCTTGGCCAAAGCGTCGCTGTCGCTGCCGTTGTTGTTTGCCTTTTGTGCAGCTGCTGCTGCCGCTATATCCACAATTGTTGTCCTGCAAATCCAGAATTCAGCTTGTATTTGTAAACGCTTTTTGGGCTTTTGGCACACACTGAATAATAATGTGCGTTTGCGTTGAAAATCGTGTTTTTTTCCCTTCAATTCACGTCACTTGGTATTTTATTCACCACGTCTGGGAGACAGTGTTGTACACTACTGCTAGTGTACTACTAATAGTGTTGCAAAACGCTGGCGTAAGAGGGTTGCCGGGTGCGCAACAACAGTACCGAACAAAACGCATAAAAAACTAAAATAGTGAAATAATAATGGCTTACAACCAATAAAAAAGAATACAATGCCACAAAACCTTGCTTTTAGGAGTGAGAATTGGAAAATAACTGTTCTGCTTTGATATAAATCGCAACAGTTGTTCAACAAAATTAGTGATTATTTCCAGGAAGGTGTGGGAATAGATGTACTGCTGGCTAAATAGTTTATTTCCGTAAAATCCGACAAATGCTTTGTACTTTTTCGCTCGTTTGCGATTTGTCAGCCCTGGCGACGCGGCGTGCTGCGTAATCAGCTGTTCACACGCACGCCCGCCTCTGCGTCTGTATGGGTGCCTCAAATCCCATGGACAGGTAGCAGTTTTGTTGGATATCTTGTTTTTTTTGTATTTTTTCGAGCTATCTGTTTTGCCGAGCATTTTCATATCTTGTTTGGGGCTTTTCAGCCGTCTTACCTCTTCGTTCGCGCTGCGCTGCGTAGTATTAGCTGGGGGCGTGGCCAGGGGCGGCGCTGGCAGGGCCAAAAACGGCGAACGCGGCAAATAGAGGCGCTGCCACAGGCCGCTCAAGAGTTGCGTTAGCGATTGCCAGGAGAAATTCGCTTTCGCTTGCTTCACGCTGCTGTTGGGCATGAGTTTGTCCTTCGGCGAATATAGTTGCATGGGTTTTGTCCTGTTGTTTAGTCTTAAACGCGAGTGGTTGCATGGGTATATTCACCTTTTGGCGCCCTTTTTCGCTTACTGTGCGCAGTCCGCCTATAGCAGCTCGTCTGCGATTAAATCACCGCATGGCGTTGCCCGTTTTACTGTGCTGCGTTTTTCTGCTGCCTGCAGTGCAACAAATATAATTAATACGCGGGAATTTGCAACGGATTAAATTGAATTGCACTTGGTTAGTGATGTGAAAAACATGTGTTTGGGCGATTCCTATCGATGTTTGGTGGTATCGATGTTGAGCGATGCAAACGATAACTGTCGTCATAGCATAGTGTTGGCAAGAGCTTGCAGTAATTAAAGTTGCCATATAGTTGAGATTCAGGCGGGAAATATTTAAATTAAAATTAAGCAAGAGAAAACTAATACAAAAACGTTAAACAACACATACGTTAACACTTAAATTGTTGTATATTTTCCTTTTTAAAATTAAAGATTAATTGCGTGAGTAGCAGCTGGCTGCCTCGTGTTCGGGACTGCGCCTGCGCTGCTTTGGCGCCCAATAAAAATACGGGTTCCGATTCATTCAATTGCATAACAATACGCAAGGAAAAATAACGGTATCGTTATCGTGTGCCCACGCTCAGTCAAATACTGACGTTCCTGTTCCAACGGTCGTGTGCGCGGATTCATTTCCCCGAACTCTGCTTCCCGCGTTTTGTCGCTCTGGGAAAGAGTCCATCTATCTGGGATATACTTCACTTTGTCCGCCAATAGTCCATGGAAGCCGATCGAATGGCTTGAATACTGATAGACGATATAGTATGTCCCGCCAACGTAACATCTGCAAGTCGAGTGGAGAAACCTGCTCATCGTAGCATCGGTCCAGGATTCTAGCCTCCGAAAAAACGTAATCCTTCTACATTTGCAAGGAGGATTTGGTATCAAAAACGTGTGCGCGTCCCATGGCAGAAGTGAGTATTTTTATTGATTTTTTCCCGGGCCCGGGAGCTGGTATTTGTGGCCTAATCCGAAACTCGCGTGATTCGCATGGAATATTCAATTACACACACACACACTGAGGAGTACAAATGGCGCAGGCCTTTTTGGGTCACGAGGCTGCTGTGCGAGTGTGTGTGTGTTGACATTGTCCTGGTCTCGTTTTCATTTTCCTTTTCGCTTTCGCACGTGCTTTTTTTGGCCAACACATACGTAACACATCGCATCTTGGCCCGCCGCATATAGGCGATCCATAATTCATGACGTTGGCTTTCGCTTTCAGCTGGCCAGCTAGGGAATCGGAAACGGAAACGGCCACGCAACCGGAACCGGAACTGGAACAGTAACTAGAACTGGAAGTGAGCCCGAAACCGTAACCGTAACCGTTACCGCTACCGATTTTGTAAACGATCGAAGGGATTTGGACGGCATGGACACCGCTGCCGCCGCCGCCGCTGCAGTCGTCGTTGACCTGAAACCCGATCAGCAGCTCCTGGGCAGCTCCACAAAGGCCAGGATTGGAGGAGGAACCACTGGATGCGACTGCCTGGGCAGCACCGTGGAGACCATGTCGCTAACTCCCCCACCCACGCCGCCTACACGCGCCACTGATGGCCATGTGGAAGCATGTGGGGCTCCATGCATCCCAAGTGCTCCCGTTGAAATCCACTCCCTGAACGGAGTAAAAAGCAAAGAGGCGCCCGAAACAGCAACTGCATCGACTGAACCCACTCAGCCGGATACGACCACCACATCATCAACGTCTTCCCCCAAAGCTTCCACAACGCCAACGTCTGCCTTGCTGGTATCGGGATCACTCACAGGGTCGGTAGTCCCCGCAGCAGAGCATCCACCAGCTGCAGGCCCATCTGTGCCCAGTAGCAGCAGTGGCAGCAGCGCCAGCAACAGCAGCAGCTCCGGATCCGACGAGAATGTGGTCCAGCTGCTGCCCTGGCAGGACATGCCCACGTATCTACAGTTCAATCCCTACGTGCTCCGGGGTTACAGACCACTGCAGACCTTCAAGGGATGCCTTCTCAGCCTGTTCTACTGGCACAACGAGACCATCAACATACTGACACATGGTGAGTTCCGTTTGCCCTGCAAACCTCCTCCGGCTTCTTTTCCGCCCACCTGTCACCACTGCCTTAATTATCGATCCGTCGCGTCTAACTGCTCGTAACAATCACGGTCAAAGCCAAGTGGAGGCACGTAAATAGATTAGGCCGGAATTTGTAATGAACCTTGACTGAGGTTGGCCTGGGCCTGCATAAGAAAGTGGGCAACTAAAGATAGCATTCACCCACAGCAGAAAATGGGTATTTATGATCGGTTCCATTAGTAACTTATTACTATAATTATAAATACTATATTTGATCTGTTTCACAGATTTTATGTTATTTATGTCTTGACCAAGTCAACAAAATCTATTTGCGTTTACTTCAAACTATAATTTAAATACCCTCAGAATTAAGTTTTTTTTACTGCTTAAAGCATAGCAAATCTAAATGGGATGCAAATTCATTGGCATTAAATATTTAAATTGTTTTGTTCCTTAAGTTCCTTAATATTGATCAAGTTTAGGAATGCCATTCTGGAACCATCTAACTAGTACAATATGCATTTCTCACTAGGATTCATGGCGGACCCGGCTGGGCAGTTGAACTCTTTGGAGAACTCCTCGAAGTTCGATAAGGATCCAATAACGCGGAACTTTCCTGGCATGTGCTGGTCCGTTGATACCTGAAGGGCCTTCACACTGGGATGTGCATCGTTGCACCAGATCTGCGCATAGCTGATGAAGAACAGCTGGTTGGCGGAGAATCGCAAACTGGGCAGGGTCTCCTCGGCCAGTGCCTGACTGCCACTCGTTCCATTTGTCATTTGGGACTCGAACCATTTCCGGTAGGCTGCGTAGGCCAGCCTTGTTCCCCCATTATCCGCAATGTTCTCCGACTGCGCGGTTGACTCCTTCAGCTGGATTCCATCGTACACATACTGACCATACTGCTTGGTGAAGCATTCCCTTCGTTTCAGGAAGTTGCTGCTGGACTTCTCATCCCACCAATCCTTTGCGTTTCCCTTTTCATCAAACTTTCGTCCGCTGTCATCGAATCCGTGGATTAACTCGTGTCCAATTAGCGAGGCCAGGGTTCCGAACATAACCGCATTGGGGTAGACATCGGACCAAAGGTAGAAGGGCTGTAGCAGGGCAACTGGAACCTTGATGGTGTTCTCTATCAGGACGTTGGCCGGGGTGTAACTTAGTTGGGAGCCCGCCTCAAACGGTTTGGCAGGCTGGTGAAGCATCTCCCGCATCTGTTTGGCACTGAGTATGCTTGTATATCGCACGTTCTCCACGTAGTCATCACTTTGCAGATTGAGTTCCGCAAACTCCTCGGTGAAGTTATCCTCGGAGTAATTGTTGACCTCCAGCGTCATTGCCTGTAACTTCGCAATAGCAAGATTTCGGGTGGGTCGCTCGATCCAATCCAAAGCGGGACTGGAATGTAGGGTCTCGTTAAAGGTAGACTTCAGTTGACGCCACATGCTTTCGATTTCTTTGGAGGATTTCGCGTTGTTGTAGCGACGGTAGAACATGTTGTCCAGATTCTTGGCGAAGTACTTCTTGGTAAGATCCACACAGGCCTGCTTCTGCTTCTCCGGATTCTCGGATGGTATCTCCACAAACTCCCAGATGAAGTGGAAGAATATATAGTTGGCCACAATGCGCTTGGGCGTTCGCTTGATGACTTCGACCAAATTTTGCTGATAACGCGTGTTGTATTCGTAGATCTGATCGGAAATGCGCTCTCCCATGGCCACAAAAAGAAATCGCTTGATGTCCAAGGTGGGGGAGTACCTCTTTTGGATGTCGTCCACTGTGACTAAATGGGCCACATCACTCAAATCTTGTCCTTCGCTCTCGTCCACCAGTCCTTGAGCCAAGTCCACCTCAAAATCCAACAGTTCCCTTGCCGTTTTTTTGGCCAGATCCATCTTCACACCCAGAAAACGCTGCAAGGTGCGCTGGATATTATTACGGTATTTCTGACGATACACTTCCGTTGCTTCGTCGACGTACATGGACCGTGCCTCCAGCGGGAAGTTTTGCTGACCCAGGTATATCCGGTTCCGGGTATTGCTGGCGAAATCCTTGTTTACCTCAATGCCGAAAATGGGAGTGACGCCGTATTGGTAGGACATGCGAGCACTAGTCCCCAGCCAGTCGAAGTCGTCCTCCTGCCAGGAGGATCCCTCGAGCACCGGCATCGTTCCAAATTCGGCAATGAGCCGCTTCAGCTTTTCGCTGTAGGTCGACTTGAGCTCCTTGATCCGGAGACAGGACTCGTAGAAGTGCTTCACTTGAATGTCCTCCGGAGTGTCGCGGGAATCGTGGGGTGTGTTGAGCATCTTCAGGATCTTTCGGTTGAGACCTTTGGTCAAAGTCTCGAATACTCCAGTAGTGACCACCTGCATGCTCGAAGCCGAGTTGATGCGATCATAGTTGCCACAGGAGAATGCGTAGAAATCGTTGCATGGATCCGCCTTCTGGTCCATAAAGCTCTCGATTTCAGCAGTCTTGGCCTGACGCAGTAATTCCTTCATGTAGGGCGTGTCCTGTTGGAGATCTTCCTCGCTGGTGGGGGCAGCTTGTACCAGCGCACTTAGGACGTAACCAGCAATGCATATGTAGAGCAACTGCATCGCGTTGTGCATCGCTTTAATTCAGATGATTGACTGGCGTGCCTCAGTTGCTCTGATGAGTTAATCGTCATTTCCATTAAAGCCAAGCCGCTCCTTTGTTCTATGGAAGCAAAAGGTGACCCTGGGATTATCGGGTGCTCTCTAGACAGTGTTGAGCTCAAACACTGAGGTTCACTGATTGTAAGTAGCTCGCCAATTTTTATCAGATCATTATTTCTTGGAAGCATTATCATACACTATAGCTGTTATGTTAGAGCTGAACTTAACTTGCCTACGATATTTTTCTGTACAAATGGTTTGGTTGTGTGATACAGGCAAAAACCATTGGTATATAATTACATTCGGATCTGTGATTCTATTGACTGACTCTTTAGAAAGCCGGAAAATAACCTCAGAAATAAGTCATTGAATATAAAATATAAAATATTTTAAATATATAAAAGCTGTCTAAGGCTTTTGCATATTGTTCTACTCACGTGAATTCAATTGAATCATTGATGTCAAGGTAGTTGATTACTCTGCCATGACGTCCAGTTTATGTGTACCTATTGTAATACTCAAACAATATAAGCCTAGCGAGCACGTTTTCGATTTGTGACGAAAGCAGATTCTCCACATTTTGCTTAATTCCAGTTTATACATAAATATGAATTTTTATCTAGTTAATATGACATTGTAAATTTAATTTGTTCACCATTACAATATAAATTAATGTTAGGGTAAGGGATAAGATTAGATACCCATTACTCAAGTGCCCATAATTTACAAAGTAAATATGTAGTTACAAATAAAACTGAAACAACCTGATTTAAAAGTTTCACAACATAACTGTTACTATTACATTCCTTAGTAAAGCATGCATTTCTCACTAGGATTCATTGCGGATCCGACTGGGCAGTTGAACTCTTTGGAGAACTCCTCGAAGTTCGATAAGGTTCCAATAACGCGGAGCTTTCCTGGCATGTGCTTGTCGGTTGATACCTGAACAGCCTTTATATCGGGATGTGCATCGTTGCACCAGATCTGCGCATAGCTGATGAAGAACAGCTGGTTGGCGGAGTATTGCAGGCCGGGCAGGGTCTCCTTGGCCAGTGCCTGACTGCCACTCGTTCCATTTGTCATTTGGGACTCGAACCATTTCCGGTAGGCTGCGTAGGCCAGCCTTGTTCCCCCATTGTCCGCAATGTTCTCCGACTGCGCGGCTGACTCCTTCAGCTGGATTCCATCGTACACATACTGACCATACTGCTTGGTGAAGCATTCCCTTCGTTTCAGGAAGTTGCTGCTGGACTTCTCATCCCACCAATCCTTTGCGTTTCCCTTTTCATCAAACTTCCGTCCGCGTATATCGAATCCGTGGATTAACTCGTGTCCAATTAGCGAGGCCAGGGTTCCGAACTTAACAGCATTGGGGTAGCGATCAGACCAAAAGTAGAAAGGCTGTAGCAGGGCAACCGGAACCTTGATGAGGTTCTCTATAACGATGTAGGACGGGGTGTAACTGAGTTCGGAGCCCTCTTCAAACGGCTTGGGAGGCTGGTGGAGCATCTTTCGCATCTTTTTGGCACTGAGTATGCTTGTGTATCGCAAATTCTCCACGTAGTCGTCACTTTGCAGATTGAGTTCCGCAAACTCCTCGGTGAAGTTATCCTCGGAGTAATTGTTGACCTCCAGCGTCATTGCCTGTAACTTCGCAATAGCAAGATTCCGGGTGGGTCGCTCGATCCAATCCAAAACGGGACTGGAATGTAGAGTCTCGTTAAAGGTAGACTTCAGTTGACGCCACATGCTTTCGATTTCTCTAGAGGATTTCGCGTTGTTGTAGCGACGGTAGAACATGTTGTCCAGATTCTTGGTGAAATGATTCTTGGTAAAGTCCACACAGGCCTGCTTCTGCTTCTCCGGATTCTCGGATGGTATCTCCACAAACTCCCAGATGAAGTGGAAGAATATATAGTTGGCCACAATGCGCTTGGGCGTTCGCTTGATGACTTCGACCAAATTTTGCTGATAACGCGTGTTGTATTCGTAGATCTGATCGGAAATGCGCTCTCCCATGGCCACAAAAAGAAATCGCTTGATGTCCAAGGTGGGGGAGTACCTCTTTTGGATGTCGTCCACTGTGACTAACTGGATCAAATCTTGCACTTCTTGTCCTTTGCTCTCGTCCACCAGTCCTTGAGCCAAGTCCACCTCAAAATCCAACAGTTCCCTTGCCGTTTTTTTGGCCAGATCCATCTTCACACCCAGAAAATGCTGCAAGGTGCGCTGGATATTATTACGGTATTTCTGACGATACACTTCCGTTGCTTCGTCGACGTACATGGACCGTGCCTCCAGCGGGAAGTTTTGCTGACCCAGGTATATCCGGTTCCGGGTGTTGCTTTCGAGATCCTTGTTTACCCCAATGCCGAGAATGGGATTGATATCGTATCGGTAGGCCATGCGAGCAATAGTCCCCAGCCAGTCGAAGTCGTCCTCCTGCCAGGAGGATCCCTCGAGCACCGGCATCGTTCCAAATTCGGCAATGAGCCGCTTCAGCTTTTCGCTGTAGGTCGACTTGAGCTCCTTGATCCGGAGACAGGACTCGTAGAAGTGCTTCACTTGAATGTCCTCCGGAGTGTCGCGGGAATCGTGGGGTGTGTTGAGCATCTTCAGGATCTTTCGGTTGAGACCTTTGGTCAAAGTCTCGAATACTCCAGTAGTGACCACTTGCATGCTCGAAGCCGAGTTGATGCGATCATAGTTGCCACAGGAGAATGCGTAGAAATCGTTGCATGGATCCGCCTTCTGGTCCATAAAGCTCTCGATTTCAGCAGTCTTGGCCTGACGCAGTAGCTCCGTGATGTAGGGCGTGTCCTGGTTGAGTGCATCATGGTCTGTGGGGGCCGCTAGGACCAGCGCACTTAGAACGTGGCCAGCAATCAAAATGTAGAGCACTTTCATAGTTTTATGCTTCTCTTTTAAACGAAAAATTTGAATAAACCATGTGGTTAATCTGGTGCCGAAAAAAGAAATGGCGAGCCTTAGCTAATCGTGTTCTTTCTAGTGGTGGTAACTAAATCTTTGGGGATTAGCATAGACTTAAACATGGGAAGGCCGCTTAGAAGTTCGTGTAAATCGTTTACTTAGCGCTCTATTCTGTAGTATATAACGTAATGCTATCGACCGTAATAAAATGAAAAGCAAAGCAATTAACCGGCAATACTAGTTACTGACGGCATTAAGTGCCCTTAGCATTCCACCTAGTTATAACACTATGACGTGAGCTGTATTCCAATCACGTACTCCCCTCTAGCTTGGGATAGGCGCATGGGACCTACGACCGAGCGGGCTTGGACAGCGCTTCCACCCCGTGCAGCACTGAAAATAATTTTAATAATATAATATTACATATGTACATATATGGCAAATTAACCTATTGGCAAGGCTGCGGAACCCTAAAAATATACAATATATCATAGTAAAATATTGAAACGGTTAACAAAATAAGTAAAGATACACGATCGCAATTACAAATCGGGTCAGCGTGTAAGTTCAGATTTCGCTCAGTGCAGCCTAATCTCCGTCCCAGTAGAAGAGAGTGAGTGCGGAAGTGCGTCTCGTCGAGCTGCCCGTTCAGTCGCTCTCGGAGTGTTCGCCATGGAGAACTTTGGCATCGCACATGCCCTGCTCCAGCTACTGTTGCTCCATCTGGTGGGAAGTGGTCGAGGTGACCTGCTATCTGGCCAGCCCGGCATTGACCTGCGCATCCAGGCGCGGGAGCAGCTGATCTCGCAGACCAACGACAGCGTCTACGTCCAGCGAATAATGCGTCTGTGCAAGTCCGCAGAGATGCGCAGCTATATGCAGCAGGACACAGATGCCTGCGACAACTTCTACGAGTACAGTTGTGGAAATTGGCCCCAGATCAATCCGGCCAACGATGCCTATCCCCGGGAGACGAATTTCGAGCAGCTTCTGGTCAAGACCTATCGCCATAAGCAGCAGAGGCTGATGGAGCAGCCGGCGAACGAGGAAACGGATGAGGTGGCCGTGCTTCGAGTGAAGGACTTCTACGCCAGTTGCCTGCTCTTTAGACAGGCGGCGGTGGATTCCTACCGACTTCAACTGCAGGAAATTGTGGCGGAATTCGGACGCATGCCCGTCCTAAGTCTCCCGGGGCAGGAGTGGCCAGCGGAAGAGTTCGATTGGCAGGACACGGTGGCGCAAATAAAGCGGCAGTACGGCTTTGATATCCTTCTGCTCTTCCAGCAGTCGGCGGATCGCATATACGCGGGTCAGCCGAAGCAGATTCTTCCGAAGTCCAACAGGAAGGCCGTAGCTGAAGACATAGCCAATCACCTGGAGCATCACTTGGGTGTGGATCCCAAATTGGCCGCAACAACGGCAAGGGAAATCACAGAGTTTGAGCACAAGATTGCCGCCATTATGGTGGATCGTCGAGTTGGAGTAATGTCCAAATTGCACACTCAAAATGTCACGGATTACAGTGATGTCGCTAACCTCACCCAATATGTAGAAACTGTCCTTGACCGGGAGTTGAAAGCCAACGAGTCTCTATACGAGCACGTGCCTGGTTATCTAATTAAATTACTTGACCTGGTGGAGGTGACACCACCTCACGTTCTGGCCAACTACGTCTTCAATGAGCTTCTAAAGCACTTTTATTACGAGCGAGCGGAATCCGTTGTGGAGCAGTGTGTCAGCCGAGTCAGGGATCTCTTTGCCGAGCTCCTTGATAACATGGTATTCAAGCAGTATGGAGATGAAGGTACCATGAAAGATATAGATTCAGTCTGGCAGCAGGTACAGCGCAGCTTTAGAGGTGTGTTACAAAACTCTTCAGCGGATTGGTTGGTTCCGGAGACAAGAGAACAACTGCTGGATCAGCTGAATACCACCAGTCTGGTGATTAATGGATACGCCGAAGTCAACTTCACACAGCGATATGAGAAACTGCAACTGAAACCTAGGGATTATCTTCACAATCTGAGGACCATACTTCACCACCAGAGTTTGAGGGTCAAGGTAAAGACTCAGACATCAGTCACCTATGATCCTATGGGAAAAAGAGTTCTGTTTCCAGTTGCACTGCTCCAACCGAACTTCCTGTGGTCCCGCTACTATCCAAAAGCAGTACGGTATGGCAGTCTGGGCACCTTGCTGGCCCAGCAATTGGCCCACAGCCTGGAAGATGCATCTAAGTGGGATGCCAAATCGTTTGCTGAGTACTCCAAAAGGAAGTCCTGCTTCAAGGAGCAGTACGCTAGACTGCGGCTCAATGGACAGTACTGGCCGGAGAGCGATCTGCAGGCGGAGAACATAGCCGACAATCTGGCCATTCAAGTGGCCTACCATGCCTACCGAAGGCTTCTAGCGGACCTGGACCCATCCTTCTTGGGCTCGGAATCGTTGCCACTACTTAACCTTGGCTCCCGGCGGCTATTCTTCCTCAGCTTCGCCCAGTTGTGGTGCAATGATGCCAATGAGCAGTTCAGGGACAAGCATTCTCTGCTTCTGGGCACTCCCAATGCCCTCCGCGTCCTGGGAGCTCTATCGAACTTTAGAGCATTTGGACGGGACTTTAACTGCGGGAGCGCAAGCAGGATGACCTCTTCCCAGAAGTGTCAGCTTTTTACCGTAAGCCTGGATTAGTTAGGAGATTCATTAAAGTACTTTGAACATAATTCTGCCCATAATAAATATATACAATTAAAGATTAGGACACTGTCTTCTATTACTTCTCGAAGATTTAAAATGCACATATGTCAACAGCAATTATCAGAGCGTCTATATAGCCATGACCGTCTATATATTTATACGCACTCTCATTGATAAAGCTGCTTTGCTTACATTTCTAGACACATTCAGAATTAATGTCATATGTGTCAGAATTATATTTGTTTGTTTATTTTTCATTCCTGAATGTAATAGAAATTTGAGCTTACTACATTAAATAAAACCACAGCTCACTTAGTTAAATAAAAACTGGATGCATTTTAGAGGGTTTTATCCGTAGATGGCGCACTTGTACTCAGGATCCATGTGCGCCGATTGAGAGCAGTTAAAGACCCAGGAGAACTCCTGGAAATTGGACAGCGGTCCGATCACCCTGTACTTACTGGGTGCATGCGAATCCAAATGAGTCATCCAGTGCTGGAAGGTGGACTGCACGTCATCGCAGAACAATTGAGCGTATCCCAAAAAGAAAAGCTGGCGACTGTTGTAGGGCAGACCCTCAAAGGTTTCCCGATGAAGCACCTCCTCGGATTGCTGACCCAGCCACAACTCGTAGGCGGCGAAGGCCAACCTAAGGCCTCCATTGTCCGCTATGTTCTCCGACTGATCCTTTCTCTCCGGAAGCTGCGATCCGCCGTACACGTACTCGTGATACTGAGCCTGGAAGCACTTGCGGCGTTCCTCTAACTCGTAGCGGGATTTCGAGTCCCACCAAGGCGCCAAGTTGCCAGATGCATCGTACTGCCCTCCATCGTCATCGAAGCCATGTAACATCTCGTGGGCGAGGAGGTAGCCTAGAGTGGAGTACTTAAACGCCTCCGGATACTGGTCACCCCAGAAATATCGTGGCTGCAGCAGAGCCACCGGGATCGTTATGTTGTTCTCCTGAATGTCGTAGGCGGGAGTAAGCGCGAGAAGCTCTGTAGCATCTATTGAGTTTGCCGGCTGATTAATCCTTGCCACGAAACCGATGCCCTTGGCAATGAGCACCTGCTGGACATTCGAAACGTAATTAAGGCGATCTATGGACACCTCTCCATACACATCCTCGAAGTTCTCCTCGTCGTAGGAGTTGATGTTCAACTGCATACGATCCAACTTAGCGATGGCCAACGACCTAGTGGCATTGGATATCCAGTCCAGTTTGTCGCCTAACAGCTGATGCCGGAAGATGCCTTTGATCTGATACCAGATCTTGTGAACTTCCGACTCCACAACCGGGCTGCGATAACGCTCGTACACCGCGTGCTCGGCCAGCTTTCCGAAATACTTCTTGGTCGATTCAGTGCACCACTTAGCCATGTCGCTTGGTTTGGCGTCCGCCAGAAAGTCTTCGAGCAGCGTCCACATAACATAGTTTGCCTGTGTGGCCAGCGGTGTGCTTTTCATGGCCAGAAGTGCATTATCCAGACTCCCCTCGTCATAGATGTACACCGAATCAGGAATGTTTTCCTCGCCAAGGATCAGGCCCAGGAATTCGGTGAAATTCAGCTGGTCGCTGTACTTCTCTTGAAGATCGGCCACCGTATAGAGGGAGAGTGCTGCCTGCAGAGTCGCTGCACCAGAGACACCGGCCGAGAAAGTTCTCTCCAACTCATTGATTTGCTGGGCTGTGTGTTTTGCCACGCTGGGACTCAGGCCGAAGTACTGTTGCAGATCGCTGGATGTGCGGGCCTCCGCCAGAAGAGTCATTAGGTGTGTGTTAAATACCTTAAAATCTGGCTGTCCTATGTACACGCGGTTCACCGATGTGTTCCGGATATCGCGCGTGATATCCAGGCCTAGAATGATCTGTTTTCCGTACTTGTGCTGTATCTGGGCCACCGTTCGCCACCAACTGAAGTCGGAAGAGTTCCACTGGGCCCCAACCAAGGCCGGTAGTCCTCCGTACTCCCTTATGACGTTCTGCAGGGCCAGCTTGTAGAGGACATCGTCGCGGTGGACCAGGGTGCAGGACAGGTAGAAACGCTGCATCTTCTTCTCCAGCTCGGATTGCAGGTCATTGGAACGCAACAGCCGCTGGAGACGTCGATCGAATCCCTTGGTTATCAACTGGAAGCTGTCGGTCATGACGTTGCCGAACAACTGGGCGGGATTGTGGCGATGCCAGTTTCCACAGGCATGGGTATAGAAGTCGTCGCAGGGCGATACCTCCGGCTTCAACATGGTCTCGATTTCGGCTATTTTTGCTTGCACGATGATTTGCTTGGCGTAATCCGAAGTCAAGTCGTCGGCAAAGGGATCATCCGCATCCGATGGCTTGGCCATAGCTGGAACTATTGCCACCACAAGGCACAGCCACAACAACCGACATGTCATCATCACGCGCCTAATTAAACTCTACTAATTTTCAAGTGGTTCCGATCGGAGGCGGCCACCTTATCAGCAGGATTTGTTTATACAATGTCCAGGGTGCTGGGGTAGGTCAACTTGTTATCTCCCGGCTCTTATAAAATCTCTACTGCACTCTTATATTATTCGTGCACCAAACTAATTCGTTTCAATCTAGTCAGGCATACGTTGGATTTGTATCGAAGACAACTGAATATACATAAATAGAAAACGGTGACCTCATATTTGTCTAATATGCATTGTCTTATACATTAAATGGTTCCTGAAGTTCAACCTCGCTCATCTACCATTTCAGCCATACCCATCTTCTACATCCTGGCCATCGTGCCCGGACTGATGCCCTGGGACAGTGGCTACAAGTTCCTGTCCTTCTGCCACGTCTTCGGATCGGTGGCGCCCTGGTGCGGCAGCTTCGTCTACCACCTGTTCATGAACATCGAGAAGGGCGAGAACGTCTACTACACGCTGCTCAAGTTGGACATGGTCGGGATCTGGGTGAGCCAGAGCTTTGGTGAGTACGAGCGCGATGATAATGAGTGTGTGCCCCAATGTTTGGGAAGCGGAACAATTTTATTCAGTACATATATGTACATCTACGCGTAATCAGCTAGACATGGGAAATCTCAATACATCAGGCACTTGTTTGGGGGATTCATTTTGGTCGAGTTGCTGCACTGGAATGCCTCGGCGAAGGCTGGGCTGTTGATCATCATGGCGAATACCCTGGCCTCATATGGCGGATGGAAGTTGTGTCGGACGAAGCTCGCACGCCTTTCTGGATAGATATCGGAGCACATGAACTGTGCTGCGCTGAGGAAGAAAAGCTGATCCGGCAACTGCGTCATGTGCGGCAGGGTTTCCGTTTCCTCCAGCTTTACTTGATCCAACCATTTCCGGTACGCCGACTGCGCAATGCGAATACCCACATTGTCCGCTATACTCTCTGCTTGCGACTCCAATCTACGCAATAGCAAGTTGCCGTACCGCATCCCACTGAACTGGTCCGCTAGGCAATTCTTGATCAGCTCGAAACCCACCTTGGTCTGGCTGCTCCAGTTGTCGTTGAGGTTTCCCTTGCTGTCGTAGAGACGGTTCAGATCATCAAATCCGTGGGCCATCTCGTGAGCCAGTGTAAAACCTAAAGTGCCGTACTTAAGAGCAGTCGGATAAATGTCGTCCCACAGATAGCGATGCTGCATATAGCTGACCGGCAGCACCACTAGATTGGTTTCAGTCTCGTAGATTGGGGTCTCGGTTACGCCGTGGTAGTAGTTTACGCTGCTGGACTCCCGCATTAGATCCGCACGGAGATTGCTGGCCTTCACCTCCAGCAGGCGTTGGACATTGCCGTAATAATCGGCGGAGCTGACCACCAGATCGCCGTACAGCTCCTCAAAGTTGACCGCCTGACCGCCGGCTATCTCAAAGGACATACTCTTGAGTTTTTCCAGTAATTCCTCACGTGTCTGCTCCTCCAGCCATTCGATGCCCGGAGAACTAAGCATTTCCTGAAAGGAGGCCTTCAGCTCCGCCCACAGACTCCTCATCTCGTTGACTATGTGGGGACTTTGCTGCTCTAGTGAGTGGTACACCATATGGTCCACCACATCGGGAAACAGCTCAGTGATCCGCTCGTGACAGATCACTTTCTGCTGCTCCTCATTCGCCGTGATCTCATAGTCGGTCAACAGACTGGACAGCATATAGTTGGCCAGCACATGGTTGGGAGTGCTCAGGAGGATCTTCTTCACCTGGAAAAGGTAGCTGGGCACCGACTCGAAAACCGGAAGATTGTATTCGGAACCCAACCAGGAGGTCACAAAACGAGTCACGTTAAGGATCGGTCCGTAAGCATCACTCATGTTAGACAGCAAGGTCAGATGGCGCATCAGTCGTGGATCGCGGTTGATTCTATGGTCGAAAGCACTACGCGATAGTTCTGACTCCAGTTCGATTATCTCCTCAGCAGTCTTTCCAGCTAGCTCCTCCGACAGACCCAGGAGGTTCCGCAGACGCATCTTCAGCGCGAGCTTCTTTGACAGATTGGCAAACTCATCGCTCACGACGAGATCAAGCTTTTGGCCCAACTGAAGTCGTTTAATTTGTGAGTTGGAGTGATCCGGAACCACATAGACACCAAGTAGAGTCGACTTTCCGTAGCGGCGGAGCAACTGAGCCATTATCTCGAGGGCGTCAAAGCCGACGTAGTCCCATGACTTGCCCTCCACAGCCGGCATTCCACCGAACTCCCTTAGAACACTGAGCAGATGAGATCGCTGTTTCGTCCTTAAGGCCGCTGTGTCCAGACAGGACTCGTAGAAATACTTCACACGTACCTCCATCGGCCGATCTGTACTTATCCGGGGCTCGTTGAGCACTTGCCCTACCCGACGCAGATAGTTCTCAAACATAAGCTGGCGGATATTGGTGTCTTTCTTTGAGTTTGCCGCATTTATTGCCGCATAATTCCCGCAGGCATAGCCGTAGAAATCGTCACAGGGACTCACAGCGGTGTCCATAAAGGAGCGCATCTCCGCCGACTTGGCGATCCGCATGATCTGCTGGCCCAGGGGTGTCGTTAACTCCTTGAAGACACCGCCCTGGATGGCCGATGAACCGACGGCCAAGGTGACAAAGATTAGGCAGGCGGAAGCTGGGAGGCGTTCCATAACGGTCGAGCTTTGTTTTCACACTGGACCGCCTTATCGGCGGGCAGACTGTGTGTGCTAACAATCTCTTCCGCTCTCTGGTTTCTATTTCCAGGTGCCCTGCCCCTGGTCACAGCCACCACTCTGTGCTTCCCACCCGTGCTCAAGTGGCTCATCATTGTTTCCTACTGTGTGCTCTCGCTGTGGGGCCTCTACAAGGTGAGTGCCACATGCAGTTGATGCGGAATCCTCTCTAATCGATCCTTAATCCCCAACAGGCTCTAACTGCCAGCTCACCCTGGCAGCGTCGCTTGTGTTTCGCCCTGCCCTTCGCCATGCGCTCCATCCTGACCTTCCTGCGCATCCGTGGAATGGTGGGCGGCAGTCACATGGCCCTTTCCCATGTCTATCTGCAGGTGCGTATGTCCAGGCTTTCCAATTGACTAACTGCTATTTTCTATAACTGTACGTTTTTGGCTGGCCTCTCTCGGTGCGCATAGGTTGAAGTTGTAAGTCACATTTTCATACATATGTACATTCGAGTAAATGGACAGAGCCGCTTAGCACTTTTCCTGGCGGACACAAGACACCAATCCACTTTCGAATCCAGTTCGCTAATTTGCTGATTAACCCTCTGTTCCAGGACGGCGTCTCCATACTGGGCGGTGCCATCGGAGCGATGCGAATCCCCGAGAAGTGGTTCCCCGGAGTGGTGGACTTCTATCTGAACTCCCACAACATAATGCACGTGCTGGTCGTCGTTGCAGTTTACTCCATGCACAAGGTGGGTTAGGTGCAACACGGATGAAGGCCGTGTTCTAGTTGAGATCATAAACGTGTGGCGGGGTACTAACATTTATTTGTCCTTAGGCCACCATCAAGGATTTCGAGTGGATGTCGACGCAGACCTGCCACACCGCCGCAAATGCCACGGAGCAGGCTCTGGGTCACGTGGAGCTATGACCCGCTTATTGGCTGCTGCCGCTGGTGCTGCTGCCCTTGCCTTGGATAATCCTGGCCAGGCGGCGGGCCCGGACGCACTTGATCCGTGCCCTCATCGCGCCCATCGCCTGGCGGAGGAGGCGAGCCCAAGTCCCCGGATGAGACCAGACAGAGATCCATCGATGCAGTGGGGCGAGGACGAACGCTACTTGAATATACCGTGTATAAGAGAGCGAAGATGATGTAGTAACAATATACATATGTATATCTAGGTGTAGGTATAGGCCATACATATATGAACTGTATGTGTGTATTTACATATAGTACTTACTTCGACTGTGGTATTAAGCATTAAGGTTATATTATTACTGGGACGAGACGAGACGAACGACAGGATGGTAGGATGGTAGGATGGTAGGATGGTAGGATGGTAGGATGGTTCGGAACCAAGTCTTCGGATTTTCACGCTAATCTCTTGGATATACAGTTGCAATACGGCTGCGCAATGGATAACGAGTAATTGATAACGATACATGAATAATGAGTAATTAATTGTAATGATGATTTGAATGATGTTGATACACATGTACCTCATTGTGCTTACGACAACACATCTTATTTTCAAATACTCGTACGTACAACTTTGTACCTCGTCGAAAATTCTACAATAAGAACACCTATAAGCTAATCTCTTCCTAGTTGAACTTTTAGATATGCAATTTGTTAATTTTGGCAAGCTAGCGAGCTAGTGGTAGTGTAAGCCTAGTTAAAGCTCCAATCTGTGCATAGTTGTGAACGAAACTCAACCACTCATTAGTTGCTGATGGGTGCCAGTAGTTAGAAACCCGAATTCAAGTTGGACAAGTGTGAAAATCAATACAGTCTCCTGGCAAATCGCTACTGCAACGAATCACGTACATGAAAACGTAGTAAGAATTCGAATTGGATTGGGTTTATATCATTTATGTCAATTGAGTGCGCAATATAAACCTCAAGTATTTATTGAGCTCCCCGAGTATTGAATATTATTAGAAACCGCAATATTTATTATGAGTACGTGTACCCTAGGAGCTAAGCATTAGGGCGGGTATACAACCAACTTAACTATACGATAGCAACCTTTCGAGCGTCGGTCTATTTTAATCCTAGCAATGCGAACAATTATGAGTAATGCGTTTTAGTAGTGTCAATAATTTACACCACCCACTCGAAGGAAGGCGAAAAAGAGGGCGAATCTAACAAGTGAAACGTAAGCTAACAAACGAATTCAAACATACAAAGCAATAATTATAGGCAGACTCAATGCTTTAAGTTTAAAGTTGCTGCTACACATAAGTGACAATTATACGAATAATGTAAATCGATTTTCTGAGAGGTTAATAAACATTAAAAGTGTATTTAATGAGCAAATGAAAAGCATTCTCAACGTCTTTTAATATGAATTTGTAAGTCCCCTTGGAAGCATCACCGCCAGGTGGCGTGGTGTTGCCTCTCCGGCAGGTAGCCCAGGTTGGCAGCGCTGGCTAAATTAAAGCCCACATTTCAAAATATTTGAAGATGCTACAAATTTCAATTTACTTGTTATACTTTATTAAATTCTTTAGTAAATTCTTATATTGGCGCCATGCATTTATAGACAATATGTTTATACTTTCCTTTCGTAATAATCAATGTTTATTCGAGTGGTTGACTAGTTGTAGTTTATGATTAGTTGTTTAAATACGAATTTAACGCTTTTGATTAATACGCGTTTTATAGTATATTCAGATACATACATGTATGAAGACTATATAAAGATGTTTATTTAAAAATTTACAAAAATGGAAAACTTCTCTGATTCGTTATGAAGCTAGTAGCACTTTAAAATTCCTAATTGCCTTTCGCATATAAATATCTTGTAGTGGCGTATATGTCTATTTTTGTGTATATGGCTATATTCGTTAAAGTAAAAACTGCATTGCACATTTTGTCGGTGTCCTGCTTTGTTTTCAGTGTATAAATGTTGCGTTGATCGTTTTTGATTATAGTGTTCTGTATTTTGGTTTCAGTATTTGATATCCTCATTCATTATAAAAATCATTTCAACTTTATTCTCTTATCTAAACATTCTTCTTAGTAACTTTAGCGACAATTCCCCGTAAAAAATTATATATAAAATAAAATAATGTTAAAATTAATAAAATTGTATATGCAACCTATATCATTACAACATTTGTTTATATTGCGCTTTGGACTTGCAGCAAAAATTTGGCACCAAAAATAATTAGAGTAAAAATACATAGTTCAAAAGAACGTGAGTTCCATTAAGAGCATTTCTAAAAACGAAAATAAACAATAATGCTAATATCTTAGCGAAATTTAATCTCACTCTCTGTGGTTCGCCTAGTCCCACAACTTGTTCTTTAGATATATCTTTCAGCGCTGCGCGTATGTAAAATCCGTCTGAGCATGTGCATCCTGACTGCCTTGGGGAAGATGATACAAGGGACTGTGCTGGTGATGATGATGCTGGCAGCCGGACACCTGCTCCACCTGAAAGCCATCGGTCTGCCGCTCCAGCGTTGAAAACCTCGTGGGGAGTAGCCTGGGAAACTGCTCCTGCTGATCCTCAACCACCGAGAAACTCAGTCCACACGAGCAGTGCTCGATGTGGGGCTGTGCTGAGGTCAAACCCGGTGTGGGATGGACTTGTGCCTGCTCCGTGATGATTGTGGGTGGTGGTGACGGCGAGGACATACAATCCTGGCAGTAGTGAGTTGTAGCTGCCATCTGATGGTGGAAGTGAGTGAAGGACGATGGCGGCGGTGGAGGAGGCGGTGGCGGCGTCATCGAATGGGTGGACGAACTGGATTCCGTTGATTCCGATGCCGAATCCGTGGCCGTGCTGTCCGAGGTTGACGTGGATGAGGATGGCTTGTGTGGCTGATGTGGCTGATCGGGTGGATGATGGCAGCGACATATTGTAACTCAAAAAGTGCCGCCATCGTGCTGATGACTAGATGAAGATGAGGCTATTGCAGATGCTGGCAGTGGCGCTTCAACAGCAGAAGGTGGTGGTGGAAGGGTAGCCAGCCCCAGCCCGTTCACCGGGTGCTGCAGCGTGCTATAACCATCGCCATCTCCATTCTGCTGCTGCTGATGATGGTGACTGTTTGTGGAATGATTCTGATTTGGGTTCTGACTGTGATTGAGTTGTGTGGTGTTCGCTTGTGTGCTGGGATGCAGTGAGTGTGCCTCATCGACTGAAATGTTGACCCCATTGCTTGACACGGCCAAGGATTTGGGTGGAATAGGCGGCGGCGGCACCGGAAAGTCCTCCACATCGAACGAACTAGTCGAACTCTCCCGTTGTGTAATGTTCATTGATGCTGTGGCATTATAGTCCAAACTGCCATTGCTGCTGATGCGACAGTGTTCCCGATGCTGCACTGTAATGGTCGAGATCGACGAAGAGTCTTCGCTCAGGTTGTTAAGATTCATGTGGTTCAGTTCCCTGGAGCTAGTCGTCGATATGCCGGAGTCTCGGAAATCATTTGGTGCAAAGCACACGCTCAGGGTACCACCGCTTCCGTCCTGAAAGTTCGGGGGCAGCGAATGCGGCTGCTGATCTGCCTCTGGATCATCGTAGCTAATATCAACAACAGAATACTTCTGGCCATGGTGCTGCTGCTGCTGAGAATGGCGACGTCCCACAGCATCTCCAGAACCAAAGTCATTGAAGATCAAGGGATTTGACGCCCTCTTGTCCGGTGTAATTCCCCGCGGAGGCAGCGGAGGAGCATTGGGAGAATTCAACGTCGGCTGTCGCTTCGGCGGAACCTCCGGGCTGTCCATGGATCCGTTTCCTATAAAGTTCTGCGAGCGTGGACGATTTGGTACTGGAGGAGCAGCAGCATCTTCCAGAGGAATACTAAGACTCTCCTTACTCAGCGTTTGGTAGGAACTGAGTGGGTCCACGGGTCGTACAGTGTCTCCCGGTCTCGTGTACATCTCATCTAGATCATATACATAGTTGGTGTGTGCATTTGCATTCAAGCTTGAGGAAGCTGTCGCCTGGGCCACTCGCTGCTCTGTGGGCAACGGTGGTAAGGGAGTATTTACAATGCTT